GCGTGTCCCGGTACGTGGGCCCCGGCGCCCCGCGAGCTCGTCCGTCGGGGCCCCGGAGCGCGCAGGAGGGCCGGGTCTCCGCCTCCCGGGCGACGGGCCGTGCCCGAGGTCTCCTGGGCTGATAGGTGTGTTTTCTCCTGGTCCCTCCCCCAGGTCGCGGGCCCCCTCGGAACCCCGAGGCCTGCGCTGTGCGGGTGACTGCCCTGCGGAGAAGGACGACGGCAGCCGGGAGGACGATGGCCGGCGCCATCGCCGCCGCCGTGTGGCTCCTTTGCGCCCTCGGCCGCAGGGCCGCCGACGCCGGGTTGCCGCCCGCGCCCGCTGAACTGCCCACCGGAGCCTCCTGCCTGGCCCGCTTCACCAGCGGGGTCCCTGCCTTCGTGCTGGACACCGAGGCCTCGGTCAGCAACGGGGCCACCTTCCTGGGGTCCCCCGCGGCGCGGCGGGGCTGGGACTGCGTGCGCGCCTGCTGCGCCACCCAGAGCTGCAACCTGGCGCTGGTGGAGCTGCAGCCCGACGGCGGGGAGGACGCCATCTCTGCCTGCTTCCTCATGAATTGCGTCTATGAGCAGAACTTTGTGTGCAAGTTCGCGCGCAGGGACGGCTTCATCAACTACCTCACGCAGGAGGTTTACCGCTCCTACCGCGAGCTGCAGAGGCAGGGCTTCGGAGGTATGGAGGAGGGCGCCGGCGGGATGGGGCTGGGGAGGCTCGGAAGCGGGGGGCGCTGGTTATGGGGTCTCCGAGACAGGCAAGCGTCAGAGAGGAGTTAGGAGCTTCTGGGAAGCCGAGGCAGGAGGATTGAAGCTTCAAGCCGAGACTGGACAACTTGTGATTTAGCCAGAGAGACCCTGACTCAGAATAAAAAAGAGCTGGGAATGTAGCTTGGTGTGAAGGCCTTGAATTCAATACCTAGAGCCGCGGAGACACACACACACACACACGCACACGCATACGCACACGCACACACAGGGAGGGAGGAAAGTCCATCTCCACCCGGACTCCTCCTTAGAAGTAGGCAGTGTAAACAGTAAACAAAGAAAGGGATGTAATGAGGGAGGGGCACATCTGAGAGACTGGCTCCTGATTCGGGACGTGCAGAGGCGGTGAGGTGGCTGCTGCTCAGAGGGAGGCCCGGCTCCGGGCTGCCTGTATGGGAGAGAGAGAGGAGAGAGGAAGCATCTCCCCAGGTTCCCAACCTCTGGCCCCGATAGGCTGAGTTAGACAGTGAGCTGACTGGATGCAGCCTGGAGACCAAAAAGACCCCAGCCACGCACTTTTGAGGCTTGGGCGAGGGAGCCTGGCTGTGGTCTCTTCCACGGGCTGACAAAGGACTGCTTAGCGTTCCTCGCCCCTGGGAACAGATTGTTGTGTTGGTGGTCGGGAAAAACAGCCAGATGGCAGAGACTGAAGAACAAACCCAGCCTGGGGTTGGCCCAAGGTGGGCGCCGGCATCGTGGGCACAGTGGCCTGGAGGCTGGGGGCGGTGAGGAGAGTTGCCTGTGAGTCAGCCTGCTGGTATGTGTACCTGGTAGGGGAGGGATGTCACCTGTCCAGCCAGGTGTGCGTGCATGCGCACGTGAGCCGGAGGGCTCTTCCTACTTAGGGTCTGGTACCTGAGGAGTCCGCTCTGCTATTTACTTCCAGGCCTAAGGGGAAGTGGGGGCCAGGGCTCCTCCCCTTTCCTCCTGGCCCTGAGCAGGCAGCTGGGATGGGGCTGGTCGGCTTTCCCTTCCGCTTCTCTTCTGGGGCTATTCTGGCCAAGTGGGGCTCCAGGGCTGCAGCAGGTGACAGCCAATAACCTCTGGGAGCCCTGTGTCTGTCACTGAGGGCTGTACCACACATCCTGCCAGATATCTGGTCAACCGTCTCTGAAAAGGGTGCCGTTGGCAGGCATCTGCTTTTTAGGTTAGGAAACTGATCTCTCACTTAAATAATTGGCCCAGGATAACACTGTCCCCTAAATGGTAAGCCAAGGATTCACTCCAGGGTAGGAGCAAAAGTCCTGTGCTGTTTCACAGGAGATCACCTTTCTGGGAGAAACCCAGTCTGTGACTAGCGCATACCGGAAAGTAAGACTGGGGAGTCCAAGGGACCAGGCTGGCTGAGGCGGAGGTGGGCTGGTTTGGAAAGTGGGAAAGGGACTTTCCTCTCCAGCCTTTCCCCTAGGACTTGATGTCTCCCAGGCTAAGGATCCTGTCTGCTCCCTAGCAGTCCAGTAGCTCTCCTGGGTCTCTGACGAGAGGCAAGGGGCATTCTGGGAGCGGGGATGCCATCTGAGGTCTAGGCTGGGCCGTGGAGCCCCACTAGACCAGGGCTGGAGCCTGTTCCACAAGGAAGCAGTGGATAAGTAGGTAGGTGGTAATGACACAAAGTGACTGAGACTGCGATGGGTAGTGCCCTTCCTGCTCTGACAGAGGCCCCATGGGAGGCCTTCTGTAGGGCCAGGTCCTGAAGTTCTGGAGGAATTGGCCTGGGAGCTAAGCCGGATCGGGGCCACCTTTCTCATCTGGAAACCACCAGGACTGGCTCTTAGTGTGGGATAGATGGCTGGTGGATTTCCTGGAGCGTTTGGGGGAGGGAGTAGGGTTAGACTGTGTGAGCCCCAGGCCAGTCTAGGCCCTTCCCAGAATGCTCCAGGGCCTTGAGAAGAGGAGGAAGCTGTGAGCTGTCGGGGACTGTGCTATCAGCTGCTGAGAGAGAGCCTGGGGTGAGGCAGACAAGGTAGTGTGATCAGGGCTTGTAAGCCTTTGATTCTTGTGTGCTATTGAGAAGCCCTCTTTGGCGTGCATTTCATTGCTTCCCTACCTGTGGCTGGGCCACTCCGGTCCAGATGCCTGGAACTGGAGGCAAAGTTGCTGGTCCCTTCTCTCCCCTCCCCCTTTCCCGTGGCTTAGGATGACAGAGTGTTTCCCTGGAGATGTCCTGAGGCCTAGCAGCTGGGGAAGGGCCAGTTTTATTGCCATTCTAGCCCTTTGCTCCTTTGGGAGTGGCAGGGCAGGGCATGTGGCCCCTGGTCCCGCGGCCTGAGGCCTGATGAGGACAGAGGGGAGGGGGAGGGGCGGTCCTGATTCAGCCCCAGGTCAGGTGTGTCACTCCGCCTGCCCTTCCACCAGGCTGGGATTGGGGGGTTGGGGTGCTGCTCTGTCTTCCCCTCTTCAGAAGCTGGTTTTCTGCAAAACACAAGGAAGGAGGAACACTCTCTCCCAGCCTTTGTCCCCTTGCCTGTCTCATGGAGTACTCTCCTGACCGCAGGGGGCCACGCCCTGGGCTGGGGGTGCTGCTAGATAGCCAAGTTCCTTTCCCACTGCTCGCCCTGCCTCCTGTTCCCTGGGTCCCAGGCAGCCAGTTTCTATTTTCTGTTTCATAGCTCCCCCGGCCACTTAACACACTTCTCTGCGAAACCTCTCCCTTCTGGAGCTACTTTTCCCCGCCACCATCTGTCCTGGTCTTCTCAAGTCTGTGACCACCTGCGTGTATGAGCGCCCCACTGGCTCTACTTTCTCTGCCTCTTTCTGTGACTCAGCCTCCTACCAGCTGTGGCCTCATGCTCCATGCTCTTACGCTTGAACTCTGCACAGCCTCTGCGAAGGGCGCCCTGGCCATATCTTTAAGAACGTCATCCTGGACACTGTTACACTTCTGTGAATTTTTTTTCTTTTTTTTTATTGTCTTTTTGAGACAGAGTCTCCCTACGCAGTTCAGGCTGGCCTTGAGCTCACTTTGTAGCCCAGGTTGGTCTTGAACTTGCAACGATCCTCCTGCCTCAGCCTCCCAAGTGCTGGGATTACAGGTGTGCACCACCACGCCTGGCCTCTGCTTGTGTAAATTCTTCTCAACACTTAGCTCACATGTGTGTACAACCTATTCACCATAGTGTTGTTTATAATAATGAAGACTTGCAACCCATCTCAGTGTATGTCAGCACATCCCCTAGTGAACACTGTTGTGCTGTTTTAATACCAATAACTAAGGTGGCCTGATTTAGGGAGGAAAGCTGTGAATTCAGATACTCTTTGGGTGTGTGTGTACGTGTGTGTGGTACTGGGCATTGCTCCCAGGAGCACTGTACCCCTGAGCTACATCCTGAGCCTTTTTTATTTTTTATTTTGGGGGTCTCCCAAAATTGCCCAGGCTGTGATCTTCCCTTAGCCTCCCAGAGTGCTGGGATTATAGACATGCATCTCTATTCCTGGTTCAAATACTGTCTTGATATTCACACACACATACACAAAGTGGTAAAAGTAGATGCTTTTGTGGTAAGAAGTGGTTCAAAGCCAGGCAGGTGGCGCACACCTGTAATCCCAGCACTTGGGTGGCTGAGGCACGAGACCAGCCTGGGCTACAAAGTGAGCTCAAGGTCAGCCTAAACTGCATAGCAAGACC